GCTACCCGGGCGTCTGCCGCCAGCCCTTCAGCGGTGAGTGCCGTGGCTGGGGTGCGGGGGGGGGCTCCCTGGCTGAGCTGGTCTCCTGGGGTTGCTGTCTGTCCTGGGCAGCTTCTGCGCCAGGGTGGACGGGGACTGCTAGGTCAGGTACTTGCACAGGACTGGATTTGTGAGATGTGGCCTGCCTGTGGGCGGTTTACCCCATGGCAGGGCGCCCTCCCCAGCCCGGCTGTGGGTGATGGAGCCCCTCGCTGCCTGCCGGGCCGCAGAGGTCTAGCGCTGCTCCCTGCGCTCGGTGTTTCCATGGTGCTGGATGCACAGGGCTGAGGTTGCTATAGAAATGTGTCTCATAAGTAGCTGGCACTGAGGGCCTTTGGGGACCCTGGCTACCACCTCCGCACCAGGACAGCGTTGCTCCCGGAGCAGGAAGACAAAGCTGTGCCCAGACTGGGATGGGACCGGGACTGCCCGGGGCAGAGCTGTCACAGAGAGCTGGGGGTGCCGAGGCAGCAGTGCCTGGCCCGGGGGAGAACACTGGGGAGGCAAGGGCTGGTGCTCTTGGGGTCCGTACGTTTAACTCTGACAAACCCACCATTCGGCAGTGGGAGGCTGGGCCCAGCTGCCCCACTGGGCAGGATCCAGTGCAGGTGGGCATGGACCAGCTGTGGGGTGAATCCCTGGGGGGAAAGCCAGTGTCTTCTTGCCCCAAGCCCCCACCAGGCTGTGGAGACCTGTGCCTGTGGCTGGCTACTGTCAACCAGGGGCGAGGGAAGGTGGCCTGTGGCTGCGGGGAAGGAGCAGCCCTGCTGTGCTCTCCCCGCCAGCAGGCACCGCGCGAGGCAGGGGAGCGCAGCAGCAGATGGCTGTGATGGAGCCGCTCTCCTGTCGGTGGCTCCTGGTGAGATAAGCAGAGTCAGTGGTAATTAACCCCCAGCATTTGAAGCGTGAACAGCCATTAGCAGAAGGGTTAATGAGCTCGTTTCCCTGTCACTTCATGCTGTCTCCACATCTTCCTCACGTGCCACCAAGCAAGTAATGAGAGCAGGGCCCGGGGCGTAGGATTGCAGCTGAGCAGTTCCCCGGGCGCTGCGGAGATGGCATGGGAAAAGGGGCTCACTGGCCCCCCTGCGCTGCACTGCCATCCAGATAACTGTGGGGATCGGCCCGTCCAGGGGCGTTTTGGGCGGAGGGAGCCAACCTCAGCTCCTCCTCGCCTCTCCATCCTCAGGACTCTGCCCCACGCTGTTGTGGCCGGTCCCCTTCTGTCCCATTCTCACATCATCCTGCTCCAAACTTGCCCCTTCTGCTGGAGTTGGGGTCCCACCCAGCCCAGGTGCTAAGGCCTCTTGTTTTATTCCCCCGCCAGGCGAGAACTGCGAAGTGGACAGCCGCTCGGGGCGCTGCGTGCCCGGCGTGTGCCGCAACGGGGGCACCTGCACCAACGGCGCCGACGGGGGCTTCCGCTGCCAGTGCCCGGCGGGCGGGTTCGGGGGGGCGGCCTGCGAGGCCCTCCGCCACGCCTCGCCCCGTCCCCGTGCCGCGAGGCCGCCCTGCGCCGTCTGCGCTGGTGCGTGCCGTGGGAGAGCGGGGGTGTCTGCCTGCTCCCGATGCACACCCTGCTCCTCCTCTCGCCCCAGGTTTAGCACTCTGGAGCCCAGCGGCCTCCTGCTCTACAACGGGCGCCTGAACGAGAGGCACGACTTCCTGGCGGTGGAGATCATCAAGGGGCAGCTCCAGCTGAAATACTCCACAGGTAGGCTTGGCCCTTTGCGTAATGAGCTATGTGCCCTGCGAGCTGGAGAAGGCTTCCTCCGAGCCGGCCGACCTCGGGGCTGGCCTCGAGCCCGTGGTAAGGGAGATGAGGTTGGGAGAGGGGTACGTGTGTGTCAGTGGACGGCACAGAGGGCACGTACCTGTGTGATGTGTGCGTATATTGGCGCGCTGTGTGTCAAAGGACCTTCCCTAGGCCTGGGAGCGTAAGTGCAAGTGCAGCAGAGGGGTTGTGTGTATGGTCAGGGACCAAGCAGGGCTCGGGGACGCTGGGGAGAAAGCCTGCCCAGGCAGGGTGTCCGTACTGGGTAGGTGTCCCTGTGCCCGTGAACATGCACAAGCAGGGCTGAGCGGGGCCCTGCAGAGGGAGATAATCCATTCCCACGTTGGTGTCGCTGCTCAGGTTGTGCGTGGCACCCAGCAGTCCCATCCTGCTCCCACAGACTGTGCCGACAGCCACGAGCAGGCACGTCCCCAGCTCAGCGCTGCCTTTGCTGCTTTGCTCGGCCTCCCTGCCCCAGCCCCTGGGACAGAGAGGAGCTGGCAGTGCCTGTGCCTCCCTTCCACCCCGGGAGGTGCCAGCGTCCCCAGAGCCTGTGATCCCACTGTGCCTACGGTGGGCGTCCTGCCCCTTGTGGCAGGGGGCTGCCCGCTCCCCTCGGCTGTGGGACAGATCCCGGGGAGTGGTTTCAGCCAGACCAGTGAGATGGGGTGAGCTATGCAGGGGAGAGATGAATGGCTGCTGCTGCTCCTAGCCCGGTCCCTGGCCTGCATATGGGTTTCCAGCATCCTTGGCAACGTTGGGCCAAGCTTCAGGCGCTGTCACTTGTTACCACTTCTGCACGTTCAGCCTGGGCTGCTCGAAGCAGGCCGACCTTTTTTAAGCATGTGTCGTTCAGAACAGAGGGAGGCTGACGAGAGCTCTTGGAAATATGAGAGCCCTGGAGGAGGAGAGGGAATAAAGCTGGGCAAATTCAAGCAAGAGCTGAGGCAGATCTAGGGGTGAAGGGGTGGGGCAGGAGTCCTGCTGGAGTCATGACTGCGTTTCTGCCCTGTTCTGTGTCACTGGGAGCTTTGCCTCTCAGGAGGATGTTCATTATCCCGTCAGCCCCAGCCCTGCTGCATCGTGCCACACCACTGCTGTTCCCACTGCTGCCTTCCTGAAGGGCGTCAGGATGAGCTACTAGGGGTGCTGGGCCCTTGTGCTAACGCCTAGGGTTTCCCTGCTGTCCTGGAGGATGGCGTTGCTCTCCTCTCCCATGCACACACTGCTGCATGGCCACCCAGAGCCCTGGCTCTGCTCAGCTCCTCAGGAGATGGCCCAGCAGCAAGTAGGTGACCAGGAAGGAGATTATACCTAAGGGAGGTTTCTCTTCCAAGGCCTCTATTGGAAAAATAACAAGCTGGAAAGCAGTAGCAGGTGGGTGACTGACGACAGGGAAGTCAGGTTTACCCAGGGAAGGATTGGGATGATGAGGCAGGGGGAAACTGGCCTGGGGGTGGAGTGAAGGGGCTCTGCAAGGGTCGAGGGCTGGCATGGGGCTGGATGCATGGTGCCAGGCACCCCAGATGGCAGTCAGTGAAGTGCAAGGAATTCAGCCTGGACCAAGACAGCCGTCCTGGGGCCCTGAGGGCTGCTAGCTGCCGTCCCAGGGCTGTGATTTCCCTCCTGCTCTGTTCCTTACACAAGGCCGCCTCAGGCAGGGACAGTGCACTGAGCTTGTGTCTTTGAATCCCTTCTGCATCCCTGTGCGAGGGTGTTTGCAGTGCAGCATACTTGTAAGAGCACATCCGGAGGGCTGCCTGGCTTCCCTCAGCATTTAATCCCTGTCCCTGCAGGAGAGTCGAGCACGGTGGTGAGCCCATACCTGCCCGGGGGTGTGAGTGATGGGCAGTGGCACACACTGCAGCTCCACTACTACAACAAGGTACGTGTGCCCCTGCCTGTCCCGCGATGCACGCGGGTCTCTCCCCATGGGGCTGCTTGCTTTGTGTGGCATGCGCGGCTCTGATCCTCCTTTTCTCCAGCTCTGCCCTGTGGGATTGGCAGAGCCTGTTAGCTGTCCCACGTGATGGGTGCAGCAGAGGACACAGCTGGGCACAGAGAGGAGTTGGCCCTGAAGACCATGCTTGGAGGCCGCAGCATTGTGCTCCATGTCGTGTCCTCAGCAGTGTCGGTCTGCAGCCCTGTTAGCTCTGCTCGTCCAGGCATCCCTTGGGGTTCACTTGTGTGTGTGGCAGCGCAGTGGTGCCTGGGCCACAGCCCTGTCTCTGCTGTCGTGCGAGGGGTCTAAGGGGAAACGTGTGCTACTAACCCCCAGCCTTTGGTTTCAGCCCAAGGTCAGCGCCCTGGGGGTGGTGCAGGGCCCCTCCAAGGACAAAGTGGCCATCCTGACAGTGGACGAATGCGACGCCTCGGTGGCCCTGCAGTTTGGCAGCGAGATTGGGAACTACTCTTGTGCTGCGGAGGGTGTGCAGTCCAGCTCGAAGAAGTGAGTTCCTCGGGGACCTGCTGGGCGCAGCTGGGAGGGGGAGAGGAGCAGGACGCATGGGTCCCCAGTAGAGTTAGTCCGTCACATCTGGCAGAGCTGTAGTTCCAGGGCCCTGGCTGCATGTGCCTGTCCCTGGGGAGATGTCCCTTCCAGCCCCTCACAGAGGAGAGCTGGCTGGCTGGCCTGAGGCCACTGTGGATCTTACACCCCTGGGCTTCTCTTCTTGCAGGTCCCTGGATCTCACAGGCCCCTTGCTCCTTGGAGGGGTCCCCAACCTGCCTGAAAACTTCCCCGTCACTCACCGGGACTTTGTGGGATGCATGAGAGACCTGTACATTGACAGCAAACGTATTGACCTGGCCTCCTACATCGCCAACAACGGAACTGCTGCAGGTACCTTCACTGACCCCTGCCCTGCGATTTCCCCCTCCTGCTCACCCCGCGGTGCTGCTAGGCCGTAAGAGCAACGTGGCAGCATGGCTGGACCTGAGCAGCTTCCCATCAGAGGGAGGCCTATAGATTCCCCTAAATTAGGCAGCCTCCACTCCAGCTAATGTTCTAGGAGTGTCGTCTTATCCCGCGTGCAGGGCCTGCAGAGCCAGCCTGTCCGGGAGATGCTGCTGAGGGTCAGACTAGCTCTGCAATGTCTTTCTCCTGGCATAAGGAGCAGTGACTGCCTTTATGCTTGTCCCTGAGCAGGCAGGGCCTGTGCTGAGAGGCCCAGCGGCTGTGCCTGCCCCTTGGCAGCCGGGGAGGGTGGTGGTGTCTCCCCATGCTGGCTGGGGGTCGGTGGAGAGGAGGTTGAGACTGATATGTGCGACTTTGATACCTCCAGGCTGCCACGCCAAGCACTCCTTCTGCGACTCCAGCCCCTGCAAGAACGGCGGCACCTGCTCCGTCAGCTGGGGGACCTACTCCTGCCTCTGCCCCGTTGGCTTTGGGGGCAAAGACTGCCGCCACCGTGAGTGAGCGGGCGCCGCTGGATGCGGGCAGGGTGGGACACAGTGCTGGGATTGCTGTGGAAGCAGGGGGAGGGGGACCTGTGAGGTGAGCTAGGTATGTTATCCCTGCATTTAGCGCTCTCTGTGTAGTGTCACCAGCACTTGGGAAATGGAGTTGCCATGGCTCCAGGCACAAGAGAGATCAGGGAGAGCAGTACTGCTGCAGGCAGGTCCTGGTGTCACTCAGCCAGCAGTGTGTGCTGCTCAGTGTCCCTCCTGAGCCTGCAATGACCCTGTCCAGACCTTTGCAATGCAATGTGAGGAAAAGCCCAGAGCAGAAGCAGACAATCCCCATCCTTCCTCCTCACCTCCGCTTTCCTTTCCAGCCATGCACCATGCCCACTATTTCCAGGGCAACAGCATCCTGACCTGGGACTTTAAGACAGACGTGAAGATCTCGGTGCCGTGGTACCTTGGGCTAGCATTTCGGACACGCCAGCCAGACGGGGTGCTTCTGCAAGCCCATGCCGGCCAGTACACCACCCTGCTGTGCCAGGTAGGACCACAGCCTCAGCTACAGCACCTGTGCTCCAGGCTCTCCTGCCGCCCACCCAAGGAGAGCAGGAGGACTCTGCCCTCCACATCAGTTCCAGTCCAAGCAGAGGGTGGTTATGGGGAGAGGTGGTTAGTAGGGCTCGGCCCCCCTCCCCATGCAGAGCTCACGGGAGAGTGGGATGGAGGTGGTCGGAGGTGCTCAGGACTTTGCTCAGTGCTGCCGTTGCTGGTTCCCTCTCTGCAGCTGGCTGGGGGCCTGCTCTCCTTCATGGTGAGCAGGGGGTCTGGGCGCAGCACCAGCCTCATACTGGACCAGCTGCAGCTCAGCGATGGGAGATGGCACGACCTCCAGCTGGAGCTGCGGGACGTCCGCAGCGGGCGAGACTCTCGCTACGTCATCACCCTCACCCTGGACTTTGGGCTTTACCAGGTATGAGTGGTGGGGACACTGGCCCCAGGACAGGAGCTGTGGGGGTGCTCTGCATACATGGGCCTGGCTACGCCTTTGCGTTGTCAGGGCAGGCTGAGACCCTCTGGTCAATGGGGCAGGGATGATGCCAGTGGCCCCGCGTTACTTCCCTTCCTTCTGCAGGACACGGTGGTTGTTGGAAACGAACTGCACGGCCTGAAGGTGAAACACCTGCATGTGGGGGGAATCCTGAGCTCTGGCGAGGTGCAGAACGGGCTGAGGGGCTGTATACAGGTGAGTCTCTTGCTCTGAGCCTTCTTTCCCTGCAAAGAGAGATGGAAACGCAGGTCTGGCAATTGCTGTCAATGTCTGTCCTGCTGGTGACGCTCACCCTCTGAGCGTTTGGGGGTCCAAGGTGCTGGGGGGATCCATGTACCAGCACAGCAGTAGGTGATGGGAGGTGGCTGCCCCCAGGTGCCTGAGGAGGGCAGGAGGACAGGGGCCTCCTGTGTCTGCCCTGGCTTCACTGTGAATTTCTCTCCTGCATCGCAGGGCGTGCGATTAGGTGACAGTGCCACTGGGACCGCGCTGCCCAAGCCCAGCCATGCCCTGAGGGTGGAGGCTGGCTGCAGCGTGCCAAGCCCCTGCGACTCTAGCCCCTGTCCAGCCAACAGCATCTGCAAGGATGAGTGGCAGAGCTACTCCTGCGTGTGCCAGCCAGGTAGGGCCGGCAGCACTCTGCCACCCTTTCGCTCTGCACTGCATGTCTTCTCCTCTGGCCTCTGTGGCTCCCGCAGCTTGGCCCATGGCTGCTCTCCTGCCTTGTGTGAGTCGTGTGCCCAGAAATCCCCTTAGATGCTCATTGGAGGACAAAATCCCTCCTGAGCCCCCTGGATCCATGCCTTGCTGCTCTGGCCCCTCTCTGGGAGAACATGCTTGCTTTATATGGTGCTCTGTGTCCACACCTCAGGGTACTACGGAGGGGACTGCGTGGATGTGTGTCACCTCAACCCCTGCAAGAACAAGTCGGTGTGTCGCCGCAAGCCAGGCTCGCCCCTGGGCTACGTATGCGAGTGTGGAGGGAGCTTTTTTGGGCAGTACTGTGAGCACAGGTGAGATGCGGGGCACGGAGAAGGGCCCTGCCCTCTGGAGCTTGGCTCTGTGCCACCCTCTCATCCCAGCCACGCGAGCAGAGACCCCTCGGTGCTACCCTTGTCCTTATGAGCTGCTGGGTGGCTGGGCCAGTGGGAGGCAAAAGAAGCCCAGTGAATTTGGCTGTTGTAACGTCAGGTTTTTTTTCTCCCTAGGATGGACCAGCAGTGCCCGAAGGGCTGGTGGGGGAACCCCAGCTGCGGGCCCTGTAACTGCGATGTGAACAGGGGCTTCGACCCTGACTGCAATAAAACCAATGGGCAGTGCCACTGCAAGGTGAGGGGCAGCTGTGCCCGTGGGGACATGAGCTGTGGTCCACCTCTGCCCCTGGAGCCATGCTTGTCCCCCATGCTGTTCCTTATCCTGGCAGCTGCCAGGTCCTGCTCTGTGCTCCTGGCCTGCAGACAAGGAAGGCATGGGCACCTCTGGGTTAGATCCCTGCCCAGCACTTCAGTGTGGCCCTCCTGGCCCAAGGAGGTGATGGTGGGGGGCTTGCAAATGGGGCTATCTGTGACAAGTCCCTGCTGAGCTCATGGGCAGCCCTTTGAGGACAGCCTGACCCTTTTCTTCCCATGCCCCAGCGGTTCCCCCTGCCTCGGCCACCATCCCCGTGGGCTATCTGATGGCCATCCCTGTCTTCCCTCAGGAGTTCCACTACCGCCCAAAAGGCAGCGACACCTGCCTGCCTTGCGACTGCTACCCTGTGGGCTCCTCCTCGCGCTCCTGTGACAAGGAGACGGGCCGGTGCCACTGCAGGCCCGGCGTCATCGGGCGCCAGTGCAACAGCTGTGACAGCCCTTTCGCCGAGGTGACGCCCAGCGGCTGCGAGGGTGAGTGGGGGCACGGTGGGGAACTGGCGGCGTGGGGCTTGGTGTGAGCCACCTTCCCCTGTAACCGGGCCCCTCGGGGCATGTGTGTGTGTCCACAGTGCTTTACGACGGATGCCCCAAAAGCCTGAAAATGGGTGTGTGGTGGCCTCAGACCAAGTTTGGCTTCTCAGCTGTGGTGCTGTGTCCCAAAGGCTCCTTGGGTGAGTGGGGGATGCAATTGGGAGGGGAGAGTAGAAGCTGGCTGAAGTGCTGGGGCTGTAGCAACCCCGGCAAGATCACCTCCTTCTAGCAGTGTCCCGGTCCTGTCTAGCTGGGCTGGAGAGCTGGGAGAAAGACATTGGAGGAGCCTGGGGGAGAGCAGGGTGGTCAGACGCAGGGCTGGGGCTGGGAGCAGGCCGTGGTGTCTAGGTCCTTTGTCTCCACCTTCTCCCCGACACCTTTTGGTTTCAGCAGGCCTGAGCCTGAGGTCAGGCCTAGAACAGCATCTCGGCACCCTCAGTGCCTCATTGCTGCTCAGCCCTGTCCTCAGAGCATGCCGCAAGGGGAGCAGGGCACGGCGTGGTGTTAGGTGAGTGTCTCGGGCAGAAGTCACAGCCCGAGTTGGAGGAGGCCGTGCATGGTGATGGCAAAGGTGCCAGCAGGGTGTGCGGGACTGTAGGGCAGCGCGAGCCCCAGGGGACAATATGAACCCTGTCCTTCTCCAGCCGTTCGCTTCAGGAGGAGGCAGGTTTGGCTCCTAACTGTTGTCGCTTCTCTCCCTGGTTCTCTCGCCCTCCGTGCTCAGGTTTGCGGGGTGCAGGTAAGGTTGTTCCCACCTCCTTCCCTCTATGTCGCAAAGGCTGTGCTGCGTGGCTTTCCCTCCCTGCTCCCTGCGTGGCATCCCAAACAGCTCCGTGCTTTCCCTGCTGCTTTTGGAGTTGCTGAGTGTCCCCCCAATGCTTTGCCTGGCCTCACTGCTCCCACATCCTGCTTCCCTGCTCCCAGCACACTCACCAGCACAAACCCAGCTGCGGTTGCATGTGGCCCCTGCCACCCGCTGTCCTTAGCCTGCAGCCCTGGCTCTGAGTGGCCTGGAGGGGCTGCTAAGCAGGGTCTGCGCTCTGCTCCCCGCTGGGATGGGTACTGGCTGCCCCGGGCTGATACCTGCTTGCTTAGGCTGGGAGTGAAGGAGCTGGTGATGTGCAACGGGCAGCTGGCTGGGGAGGAACGGCCGAGGGCTGGAGGAAGGGGAGCTGTTTGGTGTGACTGAGCTGGGGAGAATTAGATGGGGACAGGAACCCCTGGGCACGCTCAGTGCAAGGGCCTGTGCCTGCTGCCCAGCTGGCAGGGGGAGGCAGAGGGACCCGGGGCCAGATTCTGCCTGGAGCACAGCAGCTGAGCCAGGCCACGGGTGCTGGAGAAGAAGGGCCGTCCCCTCTCGAGGGAAGGCCAGCAGCACAGAGGCTGCTCCCAGGTGCAGTGCTGCTCATCCCAGTGTTAATTTCCAGGGGGAAAGGTGGTCAGGAAGGACAGCAGGGAGCTAGAGATGGTGAGAGGGAGCAGGCTAGCACTGGGGCTTTTTTGAGCAGGAACTGGAGTCTACTCCAGGCTTCCTTTCCTTTTGCTGTGCATTCTGCTGCGATCCCCTGCCCTGGTGCTTTCCCTGGCAGGGCCTGGCCTGCAGTCCTACTGGGTGCAGTGAGGTCACCCTCAGGGTGTATGGGGTGATGCTCCTGGTGTGGGACACTGCTCTTGATGCTCCCAGCACTCTTGGTGGTGGTGGTGGTGAATAGCTAGCTGATCCCTTCATTGCTGGTATCTCTGTTGCTGTCCAGTGATGCTGGGATCTGAGCCAGGGATCGAGGCCTTGGCTGGACCCACAGTACTGGACAGGCCCTCCTCCATCCCGCTTGGCTCCAGTGGCTCATCTCTGGAGCAGGTTTGCCAGCCCTACTGCTTTGCTCCATGGAGAGCAGCAGAACCTCAGCAGGCATTGCAGGCTGGTGGCCAGGGGAACGCCCAGGGATGCGTGGGCTCCAGCAGACAGCCCTGAGGCAGACAGACACATCCCCACCAGGAACCAAGATCTTCTCCAGGCCGAGAGCTGCCAAGTCACTTCTTTCCTCTTTGCAATCTTCTGTGATGGAGACTGATGTGCTGCAATCCTGAACCGCATGCAGGAACCAAACTTGTGGAGGGAGGAGGACGGGGTTAGCCCAGGCAACAGCTTCCAAAGGTGATGCAGATCAAGTGTGCAACAGGCAGCGGTGACTTAGAGCAGGACAACAGCCCCTGGGCATTATGGGGCCTCCCCAGCACTTTCCTGTACTGGTCTTCAGGGTTAGTTGGTGCAGGGGGTTTCTGCTGGGGGCTGCAGTGGGGGAGCTGCATATCCTACACATCCTACACCAGATTTCAGACTTGTCCTTCCTCTTGATTTCAGGCACAGCTGTCAGACACTGTGATGAGGAGAAGGGCTGGCTGGAGCCAGATCTCTTCAACTGCACTTCACCTGCCTTCAAGGAGCTCTCCACGCTGGTAATCTCCTTGTGACTCTCCAGCCCTGACAGGGCAGGAACAGTAGAAACAAGGGCTCACTGCCAGATTGCAAAGGGCTCGACTCTCCATAGGCATTTAGAGTAGGAGAGGGCTTTGCCACAGTGCTCAGCACCTTTCTCTGCTCATCTCCTGCACCAAACCTGTCTGTGGGGCATTGATTTGAGCTGGAGTTTACTTTTGTTTAGTCTAATCTTTGGATATCCTGCCCTTCAGTCCAGTATTTGAGAAGAAAACAAATACCCTGAGCAGAGCTGTATTATTTGAAGCTGGTGGTATATCTGGTCTATGGGGCATCTGTCGCCATCAGACTCTTGACACTGACAAATCCCTCTGAAATATCTAGGCAGATTTACTAACGCTTCCATCCTACCTAGGCTGAGTGCTTAAAGCAAGTAGCTGGCCTAAAGCCAAGAGAGTTTCCCAGAGAAGTATTGCTAGATGCTTCCCCTGTCCTTTCTCTCCTCTTGCTGGTCTCTGCCAGGAATGGCACTGGGTTGCCAGGGCCTGGCTCAGTTCAAGCCCTTGGGTGTGGCTGAAGGCTGGTGCTGTCTGTCCCAGCAGCCACCGCTGTGAGTGTCCTCGGCTTGTGCCATGGTTTCAGAGATCATCTCTGGACCTGGGGGCCTGCAGCATCTCAGATCCTGCTTCCTTGGGGCTGTGGTGCTTCCTAGAGAGGAACCCACTCAGCGTTTAATCCTCTCCTTCCTCCCCACCGGCAGCTGGAGGGCTTGGAGAGGAACGAGACTGAACTCAACACAATTGAAGCCAAGAAGCTGGCCCACCGGCTCCGGGCCGTGACAGACCACATGGACCACTACTTTGGCAATGATGTGCACATCACCTACCGCCTGCTATCCCGCCTCATGGCCTTTGAGAGTCGGCAGCGTGGCTTTGGCCTGACAGCCACTCAGGATGCCCACTTCAATGAGGTGGGTCCTTCCCCTGAACTGGGGTGGCTTCTCTGGAGCTGCTGCGCTTTCTCAACTATCCTGAGCCTGGGTCTCTGTGAGGATTGAGGAGATTCTGCGACCACATCAGGAGTGCTGGGTCCAGTCCAGCTGTACCGCACAGTCATTGACCCACTGGAGCGATACCGATAGGGGCTGGAGTGCAGGATGAATGAGAAGAAGCCAAGAGAGCTGGCTTTGCTCAGCCTGGGGAAGAGAAGGCCAAGAGCAGTCTTATTGCTGTCTTCAGCTCCCTGTGGGGGGTGCAGAGAAGACAGAGCCATGCTCCTCTCAGAGGTGCCCAGTGAAAGGGTGAGAGGGAGCAGACACAGGTTGCAACAAGGGGAACTATGTTTAGGTGTAAGGCAAGCTGTTGTCCCCATGAGGGTGATAGATCTCACAGGGCCCAGATATAGGGGGAAGCTCCATCTTTTGAGATAGTCAAAATCTGGCTGGCCAAGGCCCTGATCCAGGTGGCCCTTCCTCGGGCAGGGGTCAGACCAGAGACCTCCAGGTCCCTCCCCCCTCCCCCAGCTATTGTGTGAGCTAGGGATGACTGAGGGCAGGGAGTGCCATGTCCCCGTGGCAGGATGGGCAAATGGTTGATCTTTCCTTTGTCTTAGTCTGTGGGTTGTGGACCTGAGTCAGATGAGCGTGAGATGAAACCCAAGCAGGCTGCAAGGAGGCTCCCACCTTTCCCAATCAGCGCTGGGTCAGATAGTGTCTCTGCAGGCACTGGCTGATGAGCTTTGAGAAGGAGTGCCTGTCGCAGGGGAAAGCATCCCTCTTCCCTGCGTCCTGGCACAGCAAGGTGGGCAAAGAGTACAGCTCTGGCCACCTGGGGGTGGCCAGGACGCAGCCCTAAGGCTCTGGTTCCCTTACCTCTGGCCCCGTCTCTCTGGTGCAGAACCTGCTGCGTGCGGGCAGCTCCGTGCTGGCGCCTGAGAACCGGGAGCACTGGGCCATGCTGCCGTACAGCGAGCATGGCAGCGCCAGCCTCATGGAGCAGCTACGGGACTACTCGGGCACGCTGGCCAGCAACATGAAACTCACCTACCTCAACCCCGTCGGCGTCATCACCCCCAACATCAGTGAGTAGGAGCTGGCTGGCCATGGGGCCCAGCTGCAGTGGTATGGAGCCATGCCTTCATTTAAAAAAAATTGGGCTGAAATCAGGGTTTTCTCCTGTTTGTTTTTACCTCTTCTCACCTGGGCAAGCTTTGTTTTGACAAAGGACACAAAGGGATGAGCGAAGGGCAGGTCGAGTCGCATCCCAGTGCTGCTGAGTGGGAAAATGAGTGAAGGGGATCTTAAATTCAACATATGCTTGAGCTGCTTATGAAAGGTTAGCCCCCATGTTAAGGGAGCAGCTGAGGCGGACTTGTGTGTAGCTGTGAGTTTATCAGCTCTCACGAATGTGGGAGTGGAGCAGGGAGATGTCCTGGTCCTGTCTCTCCCTCAAGCAGCAGGCACGCCACTGAAAGCCAGCAGAGCCTGGAGCGTGGAGCGTGCTGCGCTCTCCCAGTTATCCCCAATCCCACCTGAGCCTCTAGTGAAGGAGCCACTGGCTTCAGTGGCAGAAGCACCCTGTCCTACAGCAGAGCAAGATCTGGGCTGGGAAGGAGCACTGTGGATATTGGGAATGTTGCCTCATACCCAAGCGCGGGAGACGTTTGCAGCCCAGCCTGTGGCTTGTGTATGCCCTTTGCCAGTGACCTCGAACTCGGGATGCCCTGGAGCATGGTGCTCTCTGAGTGGCTGTCCTCCAGCTACCTTTCATTCCATCGCTCCTCCGCAGTGCTGAGCATCGACCGCATGGAGAACCGCTCCCACGTCCGCCGGCGCTACCCTCGCTACCACAGCAGCCTCTTCCGTGGCCAGCCCGCCTGGGACCCTCACACCCACGTTGTGCTGCCGCTCTCTGTGCTGAGCCCTCCAAAAGCCGAAGGTGAGCATGTGAGCATCGCTCGGAGATCAGTGTGGGCAAGCTTGGCTGGCAGGGGACATGTGCCCCTGCTGAGACCTGGTTCTGTCAGAGATTCATCAGTCACCCCCAGAGCTCAGAGCTTCTCGCTCCACTGCATCCCAAAGACCCTCACAAGCCCTGCGGCCTTGCTGCTGCTGGCGTGGCCCAGCACCGATTCTCTCTGAGGTCCTAAGCATCCCGGGGCAAAGCTGGTGGAGAAAGGCACCCAGATCCTGTGGGCTAGTGAATACAAAAGGCACTAGCCTCTTCTTCCAGCCTAGCCAGATCAGGGCACTGCTGGGCTGCCCCCAGAGTGTGCAAGGCTGCGCTCAGGCCCTTGGGGTGGTGTGTGGGGCCATTCTCACCATCCCTTGTGTCTCAGCTGCCCCCACGGCAGTGCCCACCTTTGCTGGGGGTGAAGGGAACTACACTGTAGAGAGCTCCTCTCCGAGGCAAGCACTGCCAGAGCCCGAGCCCGCTCTCACTGTGATCATCCTCATCATGTACCGCACCCTGGGGGGGCTGCTCCCTGCACGCTACCAGGTGGATCGCCGCAGCATCAGGTATGTCCTGCTTCCCTTTCCCTCCGGGCAAGAAGGACTGCAAGCAGCAGCACAGGGAGGCTGTCTGGACTCTACTTTGCTCCCTCTCGCAGGCTTGCGTGCAGTGGTTTGGGTTTGGGTCCCAGCCAGGTGGTCCTGCTGTGCTCTGCCTGTTCCGTGGCTCAGCCTTGCTCTGCCCCACGTTGCTTGTCCCCTCAGTTTGGGCAGGGTGGAACTTTTCCTGCCGAGATGGAGGTGCTGGGTGACTTGGAAGTCCTGGGGAGGGCTGCAACCGCCAGGCTTGGGGACAGCAGGGCTCCGTGGCTCCTTGCAGGCTCCCCAAGAATCCCGTGATGAACTCCCCCATCGTGAGCGTGTCTGTGTTCAGCAATCACACCTTCCTGCGAGGGCCCCTGGACGCCCCTCTTGTGCTGGAATTTCGCCTGCTGGAGACAGCCAACAGGAGCAAACCTCTCTGCGTCCAGTGGAACCACTCCAACTTGTGAGTCGAGCGTGGCTGGGCCTCAGCCCTGCACTGTGATCCGCTCACTGGGCTGCTTTCTACTGGCACCTCCTAGTTCCCTGAGCCTTCCTGGCCGTTACAGAGGCTGTGTATCTGGGCAGAATCGGGACATGGGGGCTTCTGCCCTCTCCCCGGGGGGTCCTTCCTGCTGGGCGGGGGGAGGTAGGTCTCTGCTTGGGAGTGCAGCTGTATCTGCTGGTAGAAAAGCTTTGCTGATGGCCCCTCTGCTGTGCAATTCCTTCCCTGCATGCCACACTCATGTGTCCTCTCTTCTAAGCATGCTCTGCTTTTTGGTGGCTGCAGGACCAACCCATCGGGCTTCTGGACAGCCAGGGACTGTGAGCTTGTGTACAGGAACACCACGCATGTCCACTGCCAGTGCTCCCAGTTTGGCACCTTCGGGGTCCTGATGGACAGCTCGCACCGGGAGGTAACCTCAGCCTATGGGGCTGTGAGCAGAAGAGGGCAGGCTGGAGGATGGTGCTGTTGGTTGTGGTGCCCAGAATAAGCAGGCATAGGCAGAAAACTTGTGGGTGGACACAGAGGCTGAGAGCTCAGTAGGCTTCACATGTCTTTCCCCAATGCTGCCTTTTGCCTTTGGTTCTCCTGCTGCAGCAACTGGAAGGTGACCTGGAGACACTGGCAGTTGTCACCTATTCCTTGGTGTCTCTCTCCCTGGTGGCCCTGCTGCTGACCTTCTCCTTCCTGACTTGCCTCAAAGGCCTCAAGTCCAACACACGTGGCATCCACTCCAACATATCAGTCACCCTCTTCTTCTCTGAGCTCCTCTTCCTGCTGGGCATCAACCGCACAGAGAACCAGGTGTGAGGCAGGAGCAAGCACACACACAGTTTGGCTTGTTTCATTCCCTGGATTGTGTCTGACCAGCTGCAAGGAGCAGCCCTGATTCGGGAAGTGGAAGGTGTTGGCGCTGTTTCTGTGGGGCAACATTGGAGGTTAATGTACCAAAACAGGCTCTTTTGTGTCTTGAGTGACTTGGTGATCTGATCCTGGAGGCTGTTGTCTTCCATCCTGCAAAGTGCAAGTCTGTTAGTGGTTTGTAGACCCCCAGGAAGGTGCTTTTGTGAGAGATTCTGGACCTAAGCCTGGCCGGAAATCAGCAAATGCTTGCCCTGGGAAGAGACTGAACGCATTTGGAGTTGTGTGGGTGGGGAAGGGACCTCAGAGGGTATCATTTCCTCTGAGACCTGCCTTGCAGCCCTGCCATGGAGATGGGGGAAAGGTGGGGACAGAGCAGTTAGGTTTGGCACAGTGGGGCTATCTCTGAGTGGCTTTTGCCTCCTCCAGTTCCTCTGCACTGTGATCGCCATCCTCCTCCACTGCTTCTTCCTCTCTACCTTCGCCTGGCTCTTGGTCCAGGGCCTCCACATCTACCGCATGCAGACTGAAGCCCGCAACGTCAACTTTGGGGCCATGCGCTTCTACTATGCCATCGGCTGGGGGGGGGCCCCCACCAAGATTGTCCCCCAGCCATGGCAGAAGTGCTGTATCTCAGCAGCCTTCTGATCCCCTGGTGTCACCTAGCTCACCTGCCCAGTGGGGAGAGCAGAGGGTGGGCTCACCATGGGCAGCTGTTTGGATGGACCTGTGGGACCGCGTGCTGGTGTTGAGCACGCATGCTGAGTTGTCCAGCCAGGGGATATGTATCAAGGGCTGTTGTCGTGCCTCCTGGGGAGAAGTAACCCCACAGCATGTCTCACCGCAGCTTGCCTGGTGGGTGTGGGGTACCTGCTGTCCCCGGACTCATGGTTCAGGTCTCCTGGTTTCTCAAGCGTAGGTGTTTGGATGATGTGGCTCTAGCATATCTGAGGCTGCTGGGTCTGGACCTGATCTCTCTTTCCTCCCCCAGGGCTGGCTGTGGGCCTGGATCCTGAGGGCTACGGGAACCCTGACTTCTGCTGGATTTCCATTCATGATAAGCTGGTCTGGAGCTTTGCAGGCCCCATTACTGTCGTCATTGTGGTAAAACCCTGTCCTGTTTCACCCACAGCCCTCTCCCACCTCCTTTCTCTGCACCGTGGGTGCTCGCCTCTTCCTTGGGTGTTTGCTGCCTGCCCTCTTCTCTGTATTGTCCTCCCTCAATTGCAGCCCCTCTCTCTGCCCCCTCCTCACCCCAGGCAAACCCTGGGGAGGCTGTGGATCTGAGTGGGAAGGGAAGGGATGGAAGCCCACACAAGCCTGGCAGACCAGGAGACTGCCTGTGCTCCGGGTTTGGGGTGTCAGGCCAGAGCCACCCTTGCACAGCTTGTAACCAGTGCCAACACTTTCAGATGAATGGGGTGATGTTCCTGCTCGTGGCCAAGATGTCCTGCTCCCCAGGCCAAAAGGAGACCAAGAAGAAGTCGGTTCTGTGAGTACTGGTGGCCAGACTCCCAGCAAGGCTCCTGCTGCTCGTGGTTTTTACCGTTTCCAGTGACCATCCTCCCTCTTCCTCCATCGCCAAGTGCCCCTCTGTGCATCAGTATCAGCCTTGCGGCCATTCTCCTCTCCCACGTGGTGCCTGTGTTAACCTTTCCTAAGCTTCATCCTCTCCTCTAGTTCCTATGTCCTCATCTCCACACTTCCTGTCAGCCTGTCCCCTTCCCTGCCTGCCCTCACTGACACTTCTCACATCGGCTTGGATTAAACGCTCTGCCCTTGTTGACTCTCGGTGCCTATTTCTTCTTTTTCTGAACACTCCTGAAACCTTTCCTCACTCATCCTCTCCCTCCTTCCAGGCCAGCCCTGGAGCTTGGCTCAGCTCCTCTATCTGTGGCTCCAAACGACCTGTGTCATTTGGGCCCCTGCGTTTGCTGTGTGTGATCCAGAAGGGAAGACCCTGGGGGCAGGGGGAGCCAGGTCGCTATGCAGAGGTGTGCCCACAGTGCTGCGATGGGGCGCACGTGGAGGGCTGGGCAGGAGTGCTTTCCCCTCTGGATGTCTGTCTGTGAGCACTAGACTGTAGATTAACAACACGCACTAACCTCTTGGTGTGTGTGTGCTTGTGTGTGTCTGTCTGTCTCTCTCTCTCCAGCATGACGTTACGGAGCTCCTTTGTTCTACTTCTAGTTATTAGCACTACCTGGCTCTTTGGCCTCTTGGCTGTCAACAACAGTGTCCTGGCTTTCCACTACCTCTACACTGTCCTCTGCAGTCTTCAGGTAACTGCCCAGCCTTGGCAGGGGAGGCCTGGGGGGACGAAGGTGCTTTCTGTGCTCCTTCACCCAGCTCTGCCCCCTGCACGAGGCCTCTGGAGGACCCATGCAGGGATCGCGGCTGCGTTCCAGTGAGGCTTGGGTGCTAGGGACAGGGAGCACCATCACGCCTAGCTCACTGGCTCCTCGAGGCCCTTAGTGCCGTGTGGAGGAGGCACTGAGCTAGTGAGGTATAGCACACATATATGTGCTTAGGTCAGGCCAAAAGAGCACCCCTGTGGTCCTCCTGGCCCCCCCAGCCACCCCAGCCAGTGCAGCTGTCTGCGGGGAGCTGTGTGGGCCTAGAGTCATGACCGGAGACCCTGCTTTGGTCACTGCCTGCCGGGGGGGCACCCTTTCTGTTTCTCCCTCTCCCACGGCAGCTAGCCTGAGGGTCAGCACTGCTGAGCCTTGGGGGGCTCTTCAGGTGCTTACCAGGCAGCCACCAGGGCTGACATGCTGGTCTCTAGAGGAGGAACCAGGCCCCCGGGCCCCAGGTTTCTAGCCCAGAGCCCATGCTGCATCCAGAGGGCACTGGAGAGGAGCTAGACGCTCACCCCTCCTGTCTCTGCCGCGGGGTACCCTGCCACCCTCAGGCTCATGGCGTCTCTTCCCCTTTCTCCTTCCCAGGGCCTGGCCGTGCTGGTCCTGTTCTGTGTCCTGAACGACGAGGTACAGGAAGCCTGGAAACTAGCCTGCCTCGGCAAGAAGGCGCAGGGGGAGGAGGCCGCCAGGAGCACGCAGGTAGGCGGGAGCGGGCCCAGCCCGGGTCCCAGCAGGCTGGGACTTGCTGCGTGCTGGGGACGGGAGTTGACGGGGACGTCCCTTCTCCTGAGGAGTGCGGTCGGTGCAGGAGGGAAGTTTGTCTTCCCAGGCTACCATGGCACCTCCTTAACTAAGCCCATGGCTCTCTCCCTGCCTCGCCAGGGCCCCAATGCCTACAACAACACTGCGCTGTTTGAGGAGAGTGGGCTCATCCGTATCACCTTGGGGGCCTCCACCATCTCGTCTGTGAGCAGCGTGCGCTCTGCCCGCACCCACTCCAGCCAGCGGGGTTACCTCAGGTAGGGAGCGCTGCTGGGGCTCCAGCAGCGCCTCGGCAGAGCTGTGGGCTCACGCAGGTGCAACCCCTCAGACTTTCTGTCTTTCAGAGACAACGTGACGGCACGTCAGGGCTCAGCCCTGGACCACAGCCTGCTGGGGCACACGGGCCCCACAGACCTTGACGTGGCCATGTTCCACCGCGACGCTGGTGGAGGTAGGGCCCCAAACTTCGGCCAACTAAGCTTGTCCTGAATTAACGCTGACTTAAGCAGACCGTTGCCTGCGCAGGGCCTGACTGCATGGTTACATCCTCCACTCCACGTTTGGCCATGACTCCTGAGCACGCTGCCAGTGAGAGGGAAAGACAGCAGCTGTGTTGCTTAGCACAGCCTCCTGGGCTGCCAGCAAAGGGCATAGCTAGTTTTCAAAGGGTTGAAGATGGAGGAGGCAGGAGCCGCCCCTGTGGCTGGGATGTGGACTGTCAAGTGGTCCCTGGTGACATGTGTCGTTCCTAGGCACTGACACAACACTCTTGAGACCATGTCAAGAACACTGAGCTCAGGTCCACCTCCCCGGTGCCACGCAGACACCAATCCACTGGAGGGAGACCAACAGGGGCCACCCGTGTGGTCAGGGCTGGAGCTCAGAGGGATGAGGGGAGGCCAGGAGAGCTGGGTTTGCTCAGCCTGGGAACAGGGAAGGCGGACAGGGGCTTTATTGCTGTCTGCAGCTCCCTAGGGGATTGCAGAGAAGACGGAGCCAGGCTCCTCTCAGAGGTATTTGGAGATAGGGCAAGAAGGAGCTGACACAGGTTGCAACAAGGGGAACCGCGATTAGGTACAAGGCAAGCTGTTTTCCCCACAAGGATGATCAAACCCTGGCACAGGGTCCAGACAGGGGCGGAACCTCCATTCCTGGAGGTAGTCAGAGCCCAGGTGGCCAAAGGACCAAGTGGCCAATTGCAACTGGCCCTGGCCTGAGAAGGGGTCAGACCAGACACCTCCACGTCTCTCCCCATCTCGGTTTTTCTATGACGCTGTCGTATAACCGGTGGATGCTCACAGGCATGAGCTTGTCCTCTTCCATTTGCACTGAAAAGCATCCCCCACCTCCATTCGAAATATCTCCCCCTCCCACGCCATGTCCCTACAGATCAAGACTCGGACTCGGACAGTGACCTATCTCTGGACGAAGAGCGCAGCCTCTCCATCCCGTCCTCGGAGAGTGAGGAGAACGTGCGTTTGCGGGGCCGCTTCCAGCGGCAGTTCAAGCGGGCGGCCCACAGTGAACGGCTCCTCACTAACCCCTCCAACACCACTCCCAAAGGCAAGTCCCATGGGCTCTGGCAGGGGAAAGGATGAGCTCAGGCCTCCTGTGCCATGGGGCAGCATGTGGGCATGGGAAACAGGCCATATCTTGCGATGGCCTCGTTCGCTTCTCACAGAACTGTTCTCTCCCTCTTTCCTGGGGCCTGTTTCACTGTGTCCTTCACCAGACGGGGATGGCAATGACCTCATGTCATACTGGCCAGCTCTGGGAGAGTGTGAGGTTCACCCCTGCTCCCTGCAGAAGTGGGGCTCTGAGCGGAAACTGGGGTTTGACATCAACAAGGACGCAGCCAACAATAACCAGCCGGACCTGGCCTTGACCAGCGGGGATGAGAACTCCCTCACCCAGACCCAGCGGCAAAGGAAAGGTAACAGCCTGTAGCAAGCGGGCAAGGGCAGCCTGGCCCGTCTTGGGTTCATGTGGCCCTGAAGACTCCACAGGAGATCTGTCTCATCGTGTCTTTGGGGAGGTACAGCTTAGCTCCCGTGGCTGAGTTTTCATGCTGCTTTCGCTGCTCTGCAAAGGTTTGACTTCTCTTTCTGTCTGGTGCAGGGATTTTGAAGAACCGCCTCCAGTACCCTCCGGCTCTCCAAGGCTTGCCATCTGTTGGCAGGATGACCAATGAGTTGTCATGGTACAAGACCTCCACGCTGGGTCACAGGGCTGTCCCCGCTGCCTCCTACGGCAGGATCTACTCTGGGGCAGGCAGTCTGTCGCAACCAGCAAGCCGGTACTCATCACGGGAGCAGCTCGACATGCTGATGAGGAGACAGATGTCCCGGGAGCAGCTGAGCAGGAACAATTCAGGAGAGTGCTTGGAAGCTGTGCCCAGCCGGCACGGGTCCAGGGAGGAGCTGGACACCATCCCCAGCCGGCATGGGTCCACTGAGCACCTGGAAAGTATTCCCAGCAGACATGGGTCTAGGGAAAACCTGGATCTACTAGCTACTAGGCCAAGTCAGAGAGATCACGGGAACACACTGCCCCGGAGGCAGGGCTCCAGAGACCACCTTGAAACTTTACCCTGCAGATTTGGGTCAAGAGAGCAGCTAGACTGTGGGCCAGTAAGGGAGGTCTCTAGAGAGTGGCTAAACACATTGCCAAGTAGGCAAGTGTCCAGAGACCGAATAGACATGGCGCCAAGTCGAGATACTTCTCGAGAACAGCTGGATTTGCTTTCTAGAAGACAGCCTTCCAGGGACCAGCTAGTGTCGGCTAGGCAAACTTCAAGAGAGCAGCTGGACTTTCTCTCCAGAAGACCTAATTCCAGAGAGGCTCTGGATACAGTGCCTAGCAGGCAGCCATCACAGGAGAATCTGGGGTGTCTTTCTAGGAGACAACTCTCTAGGGAAAGCCTAGAACCGCTGTCTAGGAGACAGCCTTCCAGAGAGAATCTGGAGGCCATCCCCAGCCGACATCCTTCCACTGAACAGTTGGATATCCTTTCTTCCATCCTTGCTTCTTTTAACTCCTCTGCCCTGTCCTCAGTGCAATCTTCCAGCACACCTTCGGGCCCCCAAACCACTGCCACTCCCTCTGCCGTGCAGACCTCGACGCCCTCTGCGATGTGCCCCTCGACGCCTCGTTCCACCACGTCCCACAGCGTTTCGGAGCTGTCGCCAGATTCGGAGTAAGTGCATCCCTTCCCTGCCCCAGCCTTGCTCAGTCTGTCTCGTGCGTTGTCCCGCTGCCCGCCCTCTTCCCTCTGGGGTTTTTTTTGGGAAGGGAGAGCTGGGTAGGGGTGAGCCCCTCCGGGGACCGTCAGGCGTGTCAGGGACCTGAATGGTGACCATGCAGGTAAATTCTCTGTTGTTGTGGCTCCAGGCCCTTGCAATGCAGCATGAGCAGAAATGCCAGTGCATCTTTTGAGTCTTCCCAGCTCTGCCAGAAGTGGTGGCACTCACTCGTGTCCTGCAGAGCTCAGGGAAGAGAACGTCATGCAGCGAGGCCAGACCCGTGGCTGGCCCAGTCACTCAGTGCTAGGTGGAAGTCCCTGACGAGCAGATGTGTGGGTGGGGTGGACTGGCTGGAAGGAGAAGGGGGCCAGCAGGGCCTGAGTCCTAAGGGAGCCCTGCCTGCCCCAGCCATGTTTCTCCCCAGGGTCCCTGCCCAAATTTGTCATTTTCTCCCCCAGTGTCAGTCTAAGGGCTTTGCTCTCTGCCAGCACTGCTGATGTCCTGTCTCATTCCCCCTTTCCTCTTCCCTGCACTCAGTCACAGCTCTGCCTCCCCCTTGCCGGCCTGTTTCCCGTTCCCTGTAGGGCAGACGGGCTCCCTCCAGTCCTGTGCTAGCTGGCTGTTCCCAGCGAGGCCGTGGGACGTTTGGCTCACAGCCGTTCCTGCACTGAGGCACACCGGGGTTTCTGCCCCATCCCAATCCCCGCAAGCCAGGAGGCGGCAGGGGGCATGACGAGAGCCGTGGGGATGTGCCATGGCTTAATGCTATTTTTCTTTCCTCCGAAAAGAATAATGAGAAGTGAGGGCCATTCCTGAGGGGCCGAAGGAGTCCGTGAGAGCGACAGAAGAAGCAGGGTCGTTCGCCCAGCTGGACGCTGCTAGCTGAGGTTTGGTGTCCCCAGGGGCCAGAACTGATGGCGGTCAGAGGCCCGAAACCAATCCTGCCTTTCCCAACCCTCTGGGCTGAGGGGCTGGCAACCCACACCGCCCACCGACGCCCGCGGGCCCCGGCCTGCCGCTGCGCTCCCCATCCCCTGCTGGTGTGAGAGGTATAGCAGGAGCCCGCTCGGGCGAGGGTCACTTCTCCAACCCCCGGGGCTGAACTCTTCCTTTGCGACCCGTTTCTACGCAGGATGTGCACGCGCGCGTGTGAGTGCGCGGAGGGTGGGCAGCGGCAGGGGGGATGGAAAAGGAGCCCAAGACATGGGGGCAGGGGAGGGTTTTCTACCTTTTTGTATCTTTGTAATCAGAGAGAAGAGAAATTTCTATGGTTATTTTTACGGATGGTCTGTTCCTGGGACCTGGAGCATTTGTCTCGGTAACAGCCCTTTGCTGGCTTGCCTTGGGGGCCCCAGGGCCTGGCTTTGCTGCGAAGTCTGCTGGCGGGGGCCATGATCGTGGCGGGCCGGAGGGGCAAGGCCGGGCAGCTCTCGTGGCTTTGCCAGCACCGCTCCGTCCCCTC